GCGCATGCCAAATTACATATATAAAGATGTAGTTAGTGTTGTGTTTGGCTCATACATTTGTGATTAATTATGAGTCATGTGTTGACAACAATTGAAGACCATGAGAATGCTACAAGGAAATGGCAGCAACCATGACTTTGTGTTTGCTTGCATGCAATTGTGCATGTTTTCTCTTCTATGCATTAAATAACAAATGGAGAAAAGTTGTACTTTATAGACTAGGTATGACTTTGTGCATGCTGGTAGGCTAGGTAATATTAGTCATGTGATTTAAGACTTTTTGGTCTTGGTTGTTGGCATAGTTGCTAGTGCATGCCTATAACTAGATGCAATATTGTGCATTTAGTAATGCTTAGAAAGTGGGAAGGTAAGCATCATAGAAGCATCCAAGGGGGAGAGCATCCGGCTCTCTATGGGAAGGTTGAACATGGGTTGAGAAAAATCAAGAGAGCTAGAGTGAAAAGTATTATAGTGAAAGAACTTTTGGGTGAGTGAGGCTCTTGGAAAATTCTATGATTGGGTGTGCAGGGATCGGGATTGAGTTTGTGATTTACTCATGTGTACTTGTACTGTTTTCTCATAGTGAAGAGCAATATCTCTACGGGGAGTAGGCATGTTTTTGCGACCTCATAATTTCCAGTGTCTTTTTCTTGTATTTTATTTTGTTCATTGAGGTGATTTGGTGAGGTTGTAATCTGAATCTTGTTTCCGCACTGAGAACGGGCAAGCACAACAATGGTATAGAGCATCGTTGACGCTTGGTTCGTTGGAGGTCCAGATTTTTGTTCACCATGGATTTTCAGTTGAGCAGTTAATGAGAGTGGCTGTTTTACTCTTGGCAGATGAAGTAATGAAGCCCGAAGAAAAGAAAGACATGTTAGGATGTTGGTCAACTGCGAAGTTGATGTTGAGGAAGAAAACAAAGGCCTCTTTTTTCTTACCTACTTTCAGATTCGTACGCAACCTTGTGAACTTTACTGCATGGAAAGATACAGTAAGTTTGGAGCAGGTGCAGCTTCTTTGGTGTGGATGATACCAAAGAGACCATGGATGATGGTGGGCACGAACTGCTTAAGCTTCAAGTTGGAATCGTGGAAAAAATTGGAAGAGGATTGGAGAACAACAGGTTTAGATCCGGTTCCGAAGCAAGGGTCCACAGTGCTATAGGTGCTAGGCGGGTTGTAGCAAGTTTGTAGTGGAAGAATCGAGTATGCCCTAGTACTCAGAAGCAACACTTTTGTGGTGATGTAAGTCTCAGTGTTGCAGGGGTTTTGCACAAGTGGAGCTATGGGATTCACAAGTGATGAGATGGTCCTGAAGGAGGAGAAGTGTGGGGAATTTTGTCTGGCTCGATGGGTTGTTGTTGGAAACGGGCGCGCTAACGAGTTTCTAGGTTGTAGACAATGAAGAGGAGAAAAACTGTTGAGGAGACGAGGATGTGCGAGATCCTGTCTGAAGCTAAATGGTGATTTTTAGCTGCAGCAGCTGCACATGCATTGGCAGTGACTGAATCGAAACAGGACCAACGAGGTTGATTCAGGGTGTGTATGCTGGTATGTAAGGCCAATAGGCTTTGGTGATGGGTGCAAGGGTTTTTGCATGGTGTATTCGCCAAGGTGGAGATTGTTGTGTTTGGCTCATACATTTGTGAGTAATTATGAGTCATGTGTTGAGAACAATTGAAGACCATGTGAATGCTACAAGGAAATGGCAGCAACCGTGACTTTGTGTTTGCTTGCATGCAATTGTGCATGCTTTGTCTTCTATGCATTAATTAACAAATGGAGAAACGTTGTACTTTATAGACTAGGTATAGACTTTGGAAAAGTTGTACTTTATAGACTAGGTATAGACTTCGGTGCATGCTAGGTAGGCTAGGTAATAATTATGTCATGTGAATTTAAGACTTTTTGGTCTTGGTTGTTGGCATAGTTGCTAATGCATGCCTATAACTAGATGCAATATTTGTGCATTTAGTAATGCTTAGAAAGTGGGAAGGTAAGCATCATAGAAGCATCCAAGGGGGAGAGCATCCGGCTCTCCCATGGGAAAGGTTGAACATGGGTTGAGAGAAAATCAAGAGAGCTAGAGTGAAAAGTATTCTAGTAAAAGAATTTTTGGAGTAGAGTGAGGCTCTTGGGAAAATTCTATGAATGGGTGTGCAAGAGATTCGGGATTGAGTTATGTTGATTTAACTCATGTGTATTGTACTGTTATCTCATAGTGAAGAGCAATATCTTTAAGGGGTAGGCATGTTTTTGCGAACTCGTAAATTTCTCAGTGTCTTTATTTCTTGTATTTTATTCTGTTCAACTGAGTGTGATTTGGTGATGTTGTAATTTGAATCTCGTTTTCGCACTGACAAACGGGCCAAGGCACAACAGTTAGAAACGAACGGAGGTAAATCACCTGCACTGGCCGATGGTAACATGGTCTCCTCTTCACACGGAAATGGAGATCATGACCGGATGTTGGAATGTCTCTTTTCTATCGTAAGTAAGCGGCATGAAAGAAAAAGATTTCAGAAGAGCAAAGAGGATGGTACTTGTTAATTCTCCAAAATGACTACAGATACAATAGAAAGTGAAAAAAATGATCGCGAACGTCATACCTCCGATATTTCTTGATATAATGTGGATAATTCCTTCGAACGATGATTGTTTTATTCATCTTAGCACTATGGCAAGTGCCAGCCAAGATGCGGCCCTGGTAACATTTCCAGTGAAAGAGCATTTCTTGTCAATGTAAGTCCCTGTAAGATACAATAAGCACGGGTAGCTATCGTATCAGCAATTAATAGAAACTGCGCATACCCGATATGAGACAAGAAATGAAGAGTACAACCATGCTCATTTGAGTAGAACTATGAACCGAACTTTGGAAATCCCAAAAAACATAAGCATTTCAATGATTGATTTGAAATTCGAGTTATTCAGGAAAAACTCAATTAGATCATAATGGTACTAACTTTCGTAGAATTAGAAGTACCGCCAAAGTCTTTGTTGCTTAATCTTCTGATTCAAAGGTAGAGGTATCGCTATCACCACATTGCTGCATACCCTAAGACTTCAAAATGAAATCACCAAAATGGGCAAATGCTAATGCAACATTACTCAGACACCGTGTTCTAATCAATCGGTTACAACTAATCAATCATACTAAAACGCTTCAAATTCATTCATTGCATAACTTGACTACTATACATAACAAGATAGTAAGATACATAAGTAGAAGGAAGAGAGAGAGAGAGAAGGGTGGGAGGGGGGCCTTAATGGCATCCCTGGGGGTTGAAACCGAGCCCAACGCCTTCCAGAACGGTTGCCGCCCTTTCCGGGTCTCTTCTCTTTCCCAGATTTCTTCGAGCTGGTTAATAAATTCGATTACAGTGGACCAAAAATAAAAATAAAATTATAAATAAAGCCCAATGCAAATGCATAATAAAGCAAAACAAATTTAAAGCAAACAAATCTTAATCCCAACAAGAAAATTGAAATTTATTTGATTAACCGGTTACCTGATGACACTTTGGGCTGCTTCAGAAACGCCTAGTCAGTCTGCAACCAAAATGTCAAAATATAATAGAACGACTGCTTGAAAGATATAACGACGACATTTTGGACACGGTAACAACTAGCAGGTATAGCAGAAAAGACCGACCTGTTCCGCCATGATTGATATCTCGAGAGGAGTCCAGGTGTACAAGAGGCGATTCAACGTTCCACAAACCCTACCCTCACGTTGGGCGCGCACGCGTGTTTGTATTAGATAATAATTTAAAAAAGGCGCGAATTGAGGAGTTCGGGCCGGGATATTTTGGGCCGACTCCCACTCTGCCAGCCTTTGTTTCCGTTTCTTTTTTTCGACAAAAGAATTTCAAGTTTATTTTTATTACGAGCATATTACTAATCTAAGCTATATTTAACAGTTACTTGTTTGAAAAAAAACATATTCACTTGATCAATTTACTACTTGTGGGAGATTTTGTCAAATATCGTAGTACCGTTTATGCATACAATTAATCGTATGTTCACGACAGATGATGAGTGGGACCAAGTAGTCAGGTGTAAAATTCTTATCCGTTAGCCCGTCAAGTTGGACAAAGATCCTCTCCGAATCTCACTATCCAAAGTCCAAGGACCAGACAATCCGAACCATTCAAATTAAATTTGACAGTCCTCATAAACTTATTCCATCAGCTTGGGTCACAAAAATCAAGTACTTCGATCTCTCTAGCACACAAACCAAGGGCCCATATTTCGTGGTCCTTACCTTAGCCTACGAACACTAAGGTCCAGAAAGGATCCAAATTCCGTCAGGTTAGTCCAAATGGTGAGGAATGGAAATTAACAAAGCATCTATCTGCCTTCTGTGGATCAAAACTCCATTGAAAACTAGGCATTAATTAGCAAAGACGAAATTCTGTTTCATGAATTTTATGTAACACTATGATATGACATCCGACCAAAAACTATATCTCAATACTATCTCCACAACTCGAAAGAAATTTTTCCACCGTCACGCATGAAGTGAAAATAAGAAGCAATCTGTGTTGAAAAAAAAAAAACCATACTTAATGATTGTGCTAAAAAAAATCGGCAGGAGTCAACTTCAAGACGTTGAACTCTTAGTCTTGGGCAGCGGCCTGAACATTGGTAGAGAACAAAAGAAAATAAACAAAATGAGCACTAGCATGCCAAATTACATACATAACATGTAGTTAAAAACGAGCTAAGGTAAATCACCTGCACTGGCGATGGTAACATGATCTCCTTCCTTACACGGAACATGGAGATACGTGAGCCGGATGTTGGAATGTCTCTTTTCATATCTTAAGTAGCGGCATGAAGAAAAAGATTCAGAAGAGCAAAAGGATGGTACTTGTTATTCTCCAAAATGACTACAGATACAATAGAAAGTGAAAAAAAATGATCGCGAACGTCAATACCTCTGATATTTCTTGATATAATGTAGATAATTCCTTCGAACATGATTGTTTTTATTCTTAGCACTATGGCAAGTGCCAGCCAAGATGCGGCCCCTATAGAAACATTTCCAATGAAAGGGCATTTCTTATCAACGTAAGTCCCTGTAAGATGCAAAAAGCACATGTAGCCATCGTATCAGCAAATACAACACGGCACGTACCCAATACTGAGATAAGAAATAAACAGTACAACTTGGCTCAATTGGAGTAGATCTACGAACCGAACATTGGAAATCCCAAAAAACATAAGCATTTCAAGTGATTGATTTGAAATTCGAGTTATTTCACAGACTAACACTCATATATTGCGCCTCTCATTGGTCCAGATTGCTAATGGTTCTCGTTCTCCTTATCTCCATTAGCCAATTAAGTACTATCTTGATCCAGCTGCTTAGGGAACTGTTTGGATATAAGAAGGGCCATCGGATTGTGTTAAGGGAAACTGAGGGGTTCAGATTAGAAGTAGATCAAGAGAAATAAAATTAACCATGAAAATGATGGTGTGTTTTCATAGAAAAGATAGAGTTGCTGGAATTCTTTCTAACTCAAATACAAAGCAAATGGAAAAGTTACAGAAATACAATGCATCTATACTAACTCAAATACAATGCAAACGGAAAAGTTACAGAAATCGAATCGACTCGATCAAGAAGGGCCAATCTCTCGTACAAAAATGTATAAGAAAAAAAAACCAACTTTGATACAATACAGACAAGACTCTCAGAAATATTGAATTGACTCAAAATTCGACATACATGGTGAAAATAACTACATAATTACATCCAATGTGTATAAAAATATCAATCTTTCAATTGAGCATTATAATTTGAGACCAAAATCAAGGGCACGAACTGCAATTCAGTGAAGGGTCAAATTGAACACAATCAGCAAAAACTCAACTTAGATTCTGAAATTCACAGTCAAATCAACACAAATTCCCACCCAAGGTTCTTCACCAACCGGCATTTCTTTCAAACTTCATAGTCAAATCAACACAAATCAACTTACTAATCGACGTGGGAATGACACCGGTAAGATTATTACTGCAAAGGAAAAGCTCTTCAAGTGAAGCTAAATTCCCTATCTCCTCAGGCATTTCACCAAACACATAATTCTCACAGAGGTAAAGCTTTCTAAGGTTGGTCATTTTGCAGAAAGTGGTCAACATTTCTCCATGAAACCTATTTGTGCACAAGTCGAGAATCTCGAGATAATGACAATTTGCCAAACCCTTAATGAAAGGACCAGAGAAGAAGTTCTTGGACACATTGAATTCAGTTAAGGAAGGAAGATTACAAATGCTTGGAGACAAAGTGCCAGACAAATTAAGTCCATTGAGATTTATAGAAGTTACCTTGAAATCAAAACAACGAACTCCAGTCCAATTGCAAGGATTTGAATATGCTGAATTCTAGGACACACACACCCAAAATCAGCATACCCATATGGAAGGACACACCCACACACACAGAGTACATACATACATACAGACACATACAATCATAGACTATATACATATCAATTATTAGATGAAATTCAACGATGGCAGAACAAATATTAGATGAAATTCAACAAATCCACTCCAATAAAGGCTCTGAGAACTAGCAGATGAAATTTATATCAAATTCACTTTATGACAAATATTAGAAATCAGGATGTGTCAATCATAAGAAGAACAATAGTGAGAACGCATAAAAGTTGAAATTTGAAAACCCCAAATTTTAATATCAATTTGAACCTAAAAATCAAAACCCTAATTTATTTTCAATTGCTCAGATCACTTATTGAAAAGTTTTCAAACCAAAAACAATGAAGTCGTTCATAGCCCAGTAATAATTTACCAGACAAAATCGAAGTCGTTCACAATCAACAAAAGAAAATCGTCAGATTCGAAATTTACCTAACGAGGAGCAGAGGAGGACGAGCAGGACGCAGAGGAGGGCGAGCAGGACGAGGGTGAAGGAGTAGGACGTCTTCTCTCGCAGACAATCGCGAATCTCTCTCTCGCTGGATGGGCTTTAGCAGTACCGTGAAATTTGGGGGTCCTCACTAAGAACTCTTAGCGAAGGAGTATGTCTGAGCGAGTCCGGGTTTATCCCACTAAACTCAGTCCCTCTACCTACCAAACATGGGACTACACTAAATACTTAATCCAGTCTAGTCTAGTCCCTCTTAGTGAGGCCAAACAAACACCCCTCAATTTCTTTGAGGTAGTGCGCAGTCGAACAACATGCAGCCTTGCCCCCACATTTCAAGGAAATATCTTTTTATTTTTGTCTAAGGAAATATCATATCAATTGGGTAATTTCATGGGTGGAGAAGCTGTTGAGTATATAGGTGCAACAGCCTGCATGCAAATGAATAGGATGAAGTTGTTGCCACTATAGGTTGTAAAAGAGTTAAGGATACTGAGGAAGGTTGTAAAAGACTTAAAGACTTTCGAAGTCGTGACCTGAAAGCCTACTGGCATGTACGGAAACACGCAATTACACACGAGACACACCAGGGCCAACATGACGGCTTGTACTTGAAGCCGGATCAGTTCCTACACAGAGAGTTGGCAGTATGAAAACAATGTCAATGACGTTAACAGTTGAATCAAAGATCTAGAAGAGAAATAAGGTTTGCCACTAATGGTAACCAATCTTACGAAACAACCCAGGAACCCAAACAATCAGACAGTTTGCCATCAATGTGTCCATAACTTAAAACGTGTTAACAAATGTAGAATTGTAGAATACTGTAAGGTTGTGAATGACAATGAATGATGTATTGGATTACTTATGTTGTAGGCCACTTGTTTATTGAGTTGTTAACAACTTAAGTAATCTGATAGTCATAATGAAATAAGGATTATGGAGTCTTATCCTTTGCAATTGACCTAAAGAAATCTGATGGATTTCACTACAAAGATATAGTATCATGGTGGGACTTAAACACTTAAGTGATAGGGTTTGACTTTCACAACCAAAAATAGGTTGGCTGTGATTAAACCCTAATGATATAAATACTATGGTGAAGTCCCTGCTTCCATACGCTTAATCTCTTAGATACGTTAAACCCTATTCATATAGCAGAGAGATATTATTAAAGTACTGGAAGTAAAAGACAACCTAGAAATCTGCAATGTCTTCTGTATTCCACAGATAAGTTTAATATAATTAGTTAATCTCTATTTTATATTGATTTGATTTATTCGTGATCATAATGTCTTATTGTTGTGATTTCAGAATATGTCTTACAATATCAGAGCCGCACAACAAGCTTAGGGTCCGATATAAAGGTATAAGCAAATTTGTTTATTGAAGATGATTAACATACTAAGAAAATGTTGGTTGGATGCCTTCTACTATTCCATCTCACGAAAAAAAAATTTGATGCTTCCGCAATTTTGTGTTGGTATGCAATGATCTTTCGTGGTTAATAATATATGGATTGGTCTGGGTGGTGACTATGAATACTGCTGCCCTTAAGTAGTTTTCATGAAATTTAATTATTTATTTTTCTTGTTGGCACTCATTTAATTATTAAGAGTGGGTATGTTTTGGTTCGACTAATTGCGCTCTTGTGATATGATTCTGTGGAGTTTTTCTTGCTTCCGCGTTTTTTTTTATTTTTTTATTTTTTATTTTTTATTCTTGTATGTATATGTTAACCTTGTATTGCCGAGAAGATCGTGTCATCTATGTTGTGATTTTTCTAATTATATGAATCAAGTATCTTTAAATAAATTATTTATTACGTTTACCTGGGCATCAAGATAAACTGAAATTTGGTATACAACTCTAACTAGGTTTGTTGTATGCGACTTATGGACTCCTATTTGATAATTATGAATTATTAATTAATAAATATATATATCAAGGTCACTATTGTTTTCGGTGAACGATGACCTAATTTTATCTTGGGTAATATTTCGATTTATTATATAATTTTCTGATTATTAATTTAGTTGATAAATATTACCCGTTCCTATTTGATTATTAAAAGAAAAGAAAAAAAAAGGTTAAAACATGGGAACAGTAAATGGTTTTCCCTCGCGTGAGGGTTGCTGTTCATCAATGCCCAGCTTACACCAACCTCCTTCAATCACTGTAATGCTCGAATTGAAGCTTGAAATTTCGGGGTATTCCCGCGAAGGTATGAAACTGCTTTTCATAAATTATTGCAATTTGGTTGAATTGAAATTAAGCTTTTGGTTCCAACTGAATTGATTTTGTGATATTATAATTGAGAAGTTGAAAACTATCCTGTTGTTTTGAAGCAAATACAGTGTTTTCATTTGGGATTAATTCAATTTTGCAGTTTTCGACTCTTATCCTTATAGCGCATATGCAAATGAATAAGTAAGTTTTGGTTCTTGGTTATTTCTCTATGAAGTGATAGTCGCTTCTATTATTGCAATGAATATTACTTTTAGTATTCTCTAAAATTGGTTGTCCGTTTCAATAATGACATAGAGATGAGGAGAAAAATTAGTAGTTGATGTTGAATCCTCAACTCTTGTAATTATAAATCATTGACTAATGCTTGATCAGTGGGAGCGTTTAAGAGGTATGTGCGTTTATGAGATTTTAGTAAAGTTATGAAAACAAGACTAGCTATGTTCATGCAATTTAGCATACCTTGCAATTTGTTCTATTTTAGTTTCTGTTTTTGATAGATTTTTCATAACTCCAAATTTTATGAAATTTGGTCATGTCATAATATCAAATGGATTGTAGACGTTGATATTTTTTCACGTTTTTTTGGACCAGAAATAGATTTATGGTAATTTTTTTAAGTGTGATACCATATTGCTGGAATTCTGCAGACTTCTGTAGAATAGTCTGCTAGTGATATTATTTTGACATATCTATGTGACTCATAAATTCATGAAATATTAGTATGATATACATTCAAATATTTATTTCAGGTCTGAAAATTTTCACGCACATTGGTTTGAAAATGACTTATTGCTGAATTTTTAACCTCGGGACTACATTGCAGAATTTACACAGCTTCTGCAGCACATTCTATTTCAATTTTATTTCAAGCCCACTTTTAAGAATGAAAACATTATGGAATTTTAGGGGACAATAAATTTATATGTCTACTTCATTTCTGAAAATTTTCATGCACATTGGAGGAAGATTGAAGTTTTGGTGAATTATTTAGTCTCGGGTATGTTTTGCAGAGTTTCTGTTGTTTCAGCATCACAACATATTTCGAATTTGTTATTAGTACACTTGTAAAATCTCAAAAATTATGAAATTTTGGGAAATAACAGTTTTTTATGTTTACGTTATGTCTGAAAATTCTGATGAATATTGGATGAACAATGAATATTTGGTGAATTTATAATCTCAGGTATGTACTGAACATTTTCTGCTGTTCTGCAGCACCTCTCTTTTCAAATTCATTTTTGGCTCGCTTATACGATTTTAAAAATTATGAAATTTTGCAAAATAGTAGTCATATATGTCTAGTTCATACTTGAAAAGTTTCATGACAATCTAAAGAGAATTGAGTTTTTAGTGAATTTGCAAACTAAAGTAGTACTGCTGAATTTTGGTACTTCAAAACTAGCTTTGTTATGTGATATTGTTTCACTGATTTGTGCACATCTATTGGTACCAACTATTATACAAGTTTATGGTTCCAATATGTCCTTATTTTATGCAAATTATCAATGCTAATGAATTTTATAGACAACACTGATTAAATTTTGATTTAAAGATGTATTGGTTTGTTTTGCTTAAACCAATGTTTTGTTTGGTCATCAATTCTGATTATGATGATAATTGTCTTTTGAGAGAAACTTGGAAAGTGGCATCAGTTTACCAATTGATCATTTTGGTCCCTATCGAATAATTGAATAACCATGTTTCCTCTTTCGAGAACTCTATTGTTCAATGTCAACAATGACATACTTTTGTGTCTAATTGAATCTTTTGAGAATCATTGAATATCCAACAAAACGGTTATTTAATACTGTTCTAAAGAATTATTTTGAAAAATCAGAATTCTGCTAATTTATATGGTGAATACTTTTGTCCCAATGGGAATTTCAGGAAATCACTCACCAATTATAAATTAGTATTATAGCAAACATTAAAGTACTTCTAACATATTTTCATCTGGCCAAAGTTGTTGAAGCTATATGTATGTTGTGTATTTTATGTTTTGGCTAGCTATGCAGGTATTTTCTTTGCATGATTAGTTTCTGCCCAAAGGTGTAACAATCATGCAATTTGGAGTTGGTTCGATCATCCACAACTCGACTACTTCCATGATGAATCTTTCAGAATCGAGAATGAGTAGGTAAATTTGCCAATCTTTTTCCTTAATTTTCTGTTAGTTCTAAATTGGATTAAAATTGAAAATTGATGTTGTTGAGATATCTATATGTTTACTTTAATCGACTTTGTTTTAGAATTAAAACATAAATTTTAAGTTTGGATTCTCTTATTAGGTTTCATTTTAATTTATGACCTAATCTTTAACACATATGTGTCTTCTCTTGACACACCCCGACCCGGAATGTCCACTTGGACTCCAAATCGAGTTGTGCTGGCCGACACCTGAAGGGCCAACATGATGTAGCCTTGCCCCCACATTTCAAGGAAATATCTTTTTATTTTTGTCTAAGGAAATATCATATCAATTGGGTAATTTCATAGGTGGAGAAGCTGTTGAGTATATAGGTGCAACAGCCTGCATGCAAATGAATAGGATGAAGTTGTTGCCACTTGTTGACCCTAGAAACTACCAAGCCTACGTGGCGCGCAGGCCGAGTAATCTATAAGCTAACTACGTCCTTCGGTGAATGCGGGGCGTGCCAACTCGTCGGTCGAGCTCGGCCGAGGAGTAAATTTGTTGATGTTACGTTGGGTGCGCGGCTGACTTCTACGTCTTGCGATTGCGGCCGAGAAAGGAACACGTCTCGGCCTCTTGGGCTCTCGAACCTGAAGACAAGGTTACTATTCTTACGAAGTTCAATATCAAATTCGGTTTTCAATGTGCCGAATGTAATAACTTGTAACACCTCACTTCGCCGAGAAGGCTGATGAGATGACCTCGACCAATAAGGATTTAGAAATCCTTCCCGACCGAGACTTGGATAGATAATCAACCGTTCTCACCACAGTGTTGTTGATGCCAACGGAAGATATTGCGAGACCGACTGATTCTACGGTGACAGAGCTATCTATGCCGACTTAAGATATCACCGGTTGCTTCCACAGTGCTGTTGATGCCAACGGAAGATGTGTCAGCGAAAAAAAAAAAGAAAAAAAATCTCAAGTTGTTGAGAGTTTGCGCAGGGCAATTTTGTATTGATTTGCAGGAGGCTTGAAACGATGCACAACCTCTCCTATTTATAGCAACGGCTCTCTTTGAATCC